GTTCTCTGAGGAGTTCGCAAGGGAGTCATTCCCTGGCTAGGGGTCTGAGCATAATTAGCCAGAAGAGCACGTGTTGCACCACTACCTTCAGTAATTTCATCACTCCCCACAAGGTCACTAGCATAACCCATCTTTGCAATTTCTTCTAATTCATGGTCAGAAATTTGGGGTGGTGGAAGCATCAGTTTTGACCTTTTTCTAACTGTTTCTGGGTCATTGAGCTTGTTGGCATGCAGTATAGCAGAGGGGGCATCTTGCCTTTGAGCAATTTTATTCTTTGCAATGTCTTGCTTTCTTAACTGAGCTTCCACATCAACCCTTCTTTTTCCCTCAAGTTCTTCAATTGTGGTAGGGAACTTGGGCTGTTCCACTGGTCTATCTTCATCAGTAACATCAAAAAATCCTGGAGGAGGCCTTTTCTCGAATGGGATTTCTGCATTGTAGTCTATTCCTTTCCTTTTCCTCCTCCGCTGCCTGATATCAATTCCAGCAGCCTTCAACTCTCTCTTCTTTTGCAAAGATGCAAGTCTCCTGGCTTCTTCTAGTTGTTTCTCCCTGGCTTTCCGTTTTGCCTTCTTACCCTTGGTGTTGGCTAACCTAGCTCGTGCTTCAGACAACATTTCCTTCTCATCCTCATCCATATCAACAGGATCTGGCCGTGCAGGCTTTGACTCAGGGTTTGGGTCAATCTCACCAGGTCGCAATTTCCGTGGGTCATCACCAGGTTCATAGTTCTCATCCTTAACACAGGCTGCATCAAGGAGTTTCTCATACCGTTCAAGGCACTGGGAAGGGGTACGGCCTACAATTGGAGCAATTGTTCTCCATTGTGTGGGCATAAGCTTAGCAAGATGAAGAAGCTTTTCATCCTCTTCTCTTGTCCATTCAGTCTACCATGAGCACAAAATGAAAAGGCAATTTCATAAACAAAAGGCTTGGATCAACATGACAGAGAGCATAGTGTAAAAGAATCAGTTGAAAAAAGAAAAAATAGAAGGGAAAAGATAACATCAAATAGATTGCTCAAGCATGGCAGAAGAATTGTTTTTCTTAAGGAATAACAAATTTAAAAAGAGGTGTCAAATTATAACATGATTTTCACGTATAACAAAACCAATCATTATTTGTTCTAGCCCAAATAAACAAATCACTGACATCCATAACCAACAGGGGCAAAAAGCACAAATGAAATAGCCTAATAATGCCCATTTGTCCTCGACCTTCTATTTCCAGCTTTTATAACCTAATCACATGATAAGATGAAAATTATATACTCCACTTCCACTACTTACAAAGAAAACCACAAAGCACAAGGCCGAAAGGAAACAACTAATAATATGGGTTAGGTTCAGCATTATCCATTTGGAACCCAGCCACTCCACGGCATAAAATTCAATCAAAATTTATACTCTTCCAGAATTAGTTTCATTCACAGTTCAAAGCATCATTATAGCTAAGGTACCCGCTTATTTATATTAATTCTCATGAGTGAGACATTATATTAATAGATATTAATTTTAAAATCCAAATAATAACTAAACAGAAAAATGATTGAAGGCTTAAATCATGTACAAGAGCAACCTTTAGCTTCCGGAACAAGAAAAATCAAGAAACCACCGAACGTCGCCAATAATTGCATATGTAATTGTAGGGATGCAGAACACCAGCGACATTGAGTGGTTCAACGTTAGCCAAACACCCATCAGTTACAATTACTGTGATCACACTTGCCCGGACTTACTAATAGCCAAAGGGTTAAAGGAAACGGACACAATGCTTAAAATATAATCGGGAAAAAGGGCACCTTTTTAATGGAAGGATCAAGCCACTCGTACCATCGAGCCTTACATTGCTTGGCGGATTTGCGAACCAGAAGCGAAGATATTCGAGCCCACTGGTTTTTACCATATTTCATAACAGCCGCTTTGAGGATTTCATCCTCAGTGTTTTTCCAAACACCACCCTTTATCATAATCCTCATCTTGACCGCTTTTTGATCGCTCCTACTCGCTTCAAGCTTAAATTGTAGGGTTCTCGAAGTTCAAGCAAAAATGAAGCTCACGACACAAATACAAGACAATTTTTCCTTCCGATTATGAATTCTTCTCTCGCTAATCGGCGCGATTCGGTACCAGGAGGTCTATCCTTTTCCCTCTGCGTCGAGTAATTCTTTCCTTACAACCTCTGGACTCCGGTGTTTCCTTCAGCAGACGTCAAATGCTTTGGCTTCTATCTCAGCCCCAAAGGTTGTGAAGCTTGCTTTCTTTGTGAGGCTGAAGAAAATCATGTAGATAGAGAAGGGGAGAGATTCAATGGGCGACGGCAGTGTTTGAAGAAGGAACTCATTGCAATCGAATGGAAAGCCAAAAGCTTTGAAATCCCCTTTTTTGTTTTTCGGTACTTGAGAGGTGGAAAATAAATTTTACACCAGACCCTTTCTCAACCATAAGATCAATCTCATGGCTACTGTGAACCTGAATCCGTTTCCTTGTATCATTGCTGACATCACCGCTGACACTATCCCACATGGATCGGATTTTGCATTTTAAAGCTGGTTTGATTAGAGAAGAGAAAAAGTTTTAATATTATTTTATTTAGTTTTATTAAAGAGAAAGAATTTTTAATAATTCTTTGTTTAGTTTAAAAGAGATAGGTACAAGAGGTAATAACTAATTTATTATAATATTTTTTATAAATTAGTTTAAAAAAAATTTAATTGTTTCTCATAGAAAATAATTTTACACTTTAATTTGAATTGCATGATTTTTTTTAAATTTACTCTCATCCTGTCATATTGTCAATATGTGAATAAAAAATTTAAATCAATGATTATAATAATAACAATCTTTTATAAAAAATAAATAAGTCCCCTAAATATATTATAGAATATGATGAATTGTAATTTTTTAAAAAAATTCAATGAGGTTAGTCAAGGTCTAGGAGTAAAGCATAATCTAATATGAAGAAGAGCTTTTTTAACTATGAGTATACTTAAAATATTAAAAACAGCTAAAGGCAAAATAGTCAAAAAAAATTAATTCTCCTCCAGAAAACCTCAATTTGGAGGGGAGCAATATGATGAAAGGAGAGGGGTTATTTTGACTCCCCTCCCCTCCAAAACCCCCCAACTCAACACACCCTCAATATTTTCCTTCCACAAATGTGATTTTGGTTGGAGGTCAAGCCTACTTTTAGGCTTGGCCTTCTGTGAAAACCCATTCATATATATTATTATTTTACCATAGACTCATTCATAATTTTAATTGAGTGTTTAGCAGTTTATAAGCATATCATCATTCTTTTATTTATTTATTTTGCTCAAGCTAGAGCATATTTCAATTTAAATTTTAAAAAAAATATTAGCTGACCATTAAAGCTACTTTACATCAAAAAAGATGGTAAGATTGTAAAATTACATTGTAATCCTTTAATATTTAGCTAAAAATAAGTTTTCGTGAAAAATGATACAATACTCCTAAAATTTAAAATAATGATAAAATTATTGGTAAAAGTAGGTAAGAGAGGTTTGATTCTATTACCTTTTGACTATCTAGAAAGCCTAGTAGTCACTAAACTACCAAGTCCATTTAATTAAATATGGCAAAAAAATATATATGTAATAATTCAAGTTTCTAAATCACTCATATGTTATAATATAATAGTGTATTGTTAATTTTTAAATGGTACTTATTATTTTACTAACGTTACTTGTTAGTTTGACTTGATTAATTACAAATTTAAAACTTTAAAAATTCATATATTTTACAAGTTTTCATTTGTAAATTGAAATTTAAATGTTATTAAAATAACATGTTCATATAGGTAATAAATTTAATTTCAAACCACTTGTTTTTTTATAAGATAACGATATGTTGTTAATTTCTGAACAATACTTATTATTTTACTTATGTTACTTATTAATTACAAATAGATTGTTATCAAAACCGAAATGACTTATTGTTAATGTATGGTAAATACTTGTTCTATTAGACCTGTGCTGTCAATTTTTTATTCTATTAAAATCTAAATATATTGTCGTTAATCATGAATGAATTATTATCAAAACTCAAATAAATATTTATTGATGAAATACCAACACAAGTATAATTAAGTTCATCTTATTAATTTTTCTAACTTGTTAAATTTTGAAAGGATTATTAATTTTAGATGAGTTATTGTTAAAACTCAAATGGATACCTGTTGTTGATAACTAATAGTATAAGTTTGATGGAATAAATGTTCACCTATTATAGACAACAAGTTATTCAAATTTTAATAATAACTCATTGTAAATTGGCAACCACCCATTTAGGTTTTAACAAGTAGTTTGGAACTAAATTTATTACTTATATAAATATATTATTTTAATGATATTTAAATGTTAATTTATAAATGAAAACTTGTAAAATGTATGAATTTTTAAACCTTTTAATTTGTAATTGATCATATTAAATTAATAAGCAACATTAATAAAATAAAGAGCGCCATTCAAAAATTAACAATATATAGTCATAGCATAAAAATGATTTAAAAGCTTCGGCTGCTATATATATATATATATATATATATACTGCCACATACGATTAAATGGAGGGCCCACCTTTACTAATTATTCATTAATAAAATTATCACCAGCACCGAAGCTCCGGCAATCTCTGCTTTGATGACTATGACTAGTATTGATGACAATGGGGGTGATTTTTTTTATTATTATTTTAAACCTTAAAGGTATTGTCATATTTTTTTATAAAAAATTATTCAGTTAAGAACCAACAGGTTGTAATGCAATTTCAGAATCTTACAGTTCTCCTTTGATATAAAGTAGTTCCAGTGGTCCTCAACTGATATTTTTCCTTTATTTTTTAACTTAAGTTTTCCCTCCCGCTTTAAGAAGTTACCTAATGCACTGGGGTTTCATGAATTAATGAATTGAAAAATACATATCGTTTCATTTCAGAATGCTTAAACGCAAGTAAAAATACGAAATTGTGAGTCTCAATTTTGGTACATTTCTGAATTTCGTAATACAATCTGCTTTACCTTACAGCCAATTCATTTAACAAATAATAATTGGGATAGCTCAATCTAACCATTGGTTTCAACAGTCATGATTCTGGATTAGTCACGACTAAGCAGAAGCAGCAAATTTAGCTGGACAAGTTTGATACACCTACCAAGAAACAATAGTCGTCAATGGTTGCTTGCAACATGAAAAAGAAATAACGAGGTTCTTCATCATAGACCCTGTTCATCTGGTTCCCGGGTGTCATCAGGATCGTATTTTTCCTGGATAAGTTCTGGGGAAACTACTGGCACCTGTCGTAACAGTTCGTCTCTTCTCAAAGGCCGCTCAAGATCTAACTTCTCATCTATCAATGCATCTTTCGTATGCCACAACTGGTCAAGGATAATGACATCATCATCATTTAAAAGCAACAAAAGCACCAACAAGTCCTAGTCAGTAGTCAGAAAGTGATGAGCTACTAATTTATAAGATTTGCAATATATATAAAGCAAAGGATATTCTCTCTGTCTCCCCTTGTCATTTGCATATTCTATTCGCTTTTCCAGATACACCAGGCGCACTGCAATCCACTGCAACAACAATTCCATGCAACAAACAAGGTTCAGCAAAATAAAAATAAGCGTACAAATTGTCTGATAAATGTGAAAAATACCAAAATAAAAGACACTATGAGAGGGTTATTCCATGGATTTGATCTGATAATTGAGATTATGGCAGAAAAACAATAAAACGACAAGATTGTAAGACATTCGCAAATTCAATTCTATAACCATTCTTCTTATGTTTCTCCCTCCTTTTCGTTTGCAATAGAGCTTAGAGGACAAAATTGCAGAGGATCACCATGACCAAGATACTCCTAAACTCAGTTTGACAACAAATCTGCCAATCGCGAAGAGAGTTCACGTTTCTCTTTGTTCCTCTGCGAGCTCTGAACTCTTTCATTAGACTAATGGACAAATGTCTCTCTTTCATGCAACAAAATTGAAATATTTGATAGAAACCAGAGCATAGCCAAATTAAGTCATAATTTTGAAATCTTTGAACAAGTAGATAAGCAAATAAGAGAAGTATTTCCTAAGATTTTTAAGTAGCATTGAGTCAAGGATCCTTACATGCTTTGTTATATCTTCATGCAGGTATCTGGCCTTCGCTTCAAGCTCCTTCTGTCAAATCACAGTACTAGCTAGATGATGCTCATGTTAAAGTGTCAATGGGAAAAACAAGAACGCAAAGAATATTTAGTCACATTTAAGCAAAATTGATTCACATTTTATACGCTACATCAAAGAGTAGAAAATGAGTGCTAGTAAACTACACCCAGTTCATTTAAATGGCTGAACAGTAAAAGATACAATTTCCTAACGCTAGTTAGCACTGCTTCTTTAAGTTCTCTCTTGATGATGGCCATCCTTCAAATGATAACACAAATCTTCTTATCCGTTTTAAAAGCAAAATTTTAACTTACAACAGTCATCTTTGGGAGCAAGTTATCTTTCACTTTTTGCTGCAAGGTCTCACATTCTTGCTGGAAGAAAGAAATAAAACAAATAAGAAATCTTGTAATTGGAGAATAGAGTTAATTAAAATGTAATTGAACTCCACAATCATATAATTTCTCCTGTAGTCAATCCAAACAAAAATAAATAAATAAATAAATAAATTAAAAGGATTAAGTCTTTCTAACTAGAGATACATAGTTGGTTCCAGGAAATGATAGGTTCGTTGCAAATCAATCCCTCAATAAAAACACACATGCTATCAAATATATGAAAACTTCAAAACAATTTGGTTACCTCAGTAAAGTCATCATCAGAAAGCTCAGAAATAGCAATAGCTTTTGGCATGAAGGAAACTTGCAAGAGAAATTCATTATTCACACCTAAAATTAAACCAAGAGAAATAATAAATCAATCTAAGACACTTTCAACAGCCTTGAGAATTACACAATGACATGCGAGAACTAGCAAACAAAAGAGGGTTGGGGCAGAAGGGGCAGAAAACCTGATATTTGAAATTTCTTACCTAGGACTCTTGCAAGATGATAATGATTTCCTTGCCTATGATCAGTGGGATCCGCTCGAATTTTGACAAAGGTTCCAATAACCTTATCTTTAAAACTTTCAGGCTGTTTTGATAACTCTAGCACCAGGCTTTGTTTCAAGTATATTAGTTTAATATTTTCAGCATTAATGGATGCAAAACAGCTTGTTCGGGTTATATAATCCCCTTTCTTCAACAGAGATTTTCGCAACAAGCTTGAAAGATTGTTTTCGAAGCATGGCAGACCACTAAGAAGCTTGTAGGAAAAATTGTCTTTGTTTTCATCATCATTTTCCTCCTCCGTTATTTGCTGTGAGTTTTCAACAAAGTGGGGCTTCAGCAGAGAATATATTTTGCTTACTGATACAACTTTCTTTCCTAATAGGGGAATCAACTTTTCATCAGGAATGAACTTCTCTTTGAATTTGGGGTGACCAAGGTCTTTTACGGAAACATATTCATGGATGAGATAAGTTACTTCCCATCGTGTGAATGGTTTAATTATATCTTTTCCAATAGATGCAAGAAAATCAATGACAGATTTTGATCCCCATCCTATGAATTTCTGTGATTCGGACCCCTTTCTTTTGGTCCCTGCCTTATGTTTCCAGGTATGATCTACATCACTACTATATGATGTCAAATCTTCTTCACTATCACCAAATCTTCTTTGATGAAGAGAATTCTTATCCTTTTTATACTTGGTCTGAGGAGATTTTGACTCCCATCCTATGAACTCCTTTAGTTTGGACTTGTTCCTTTTGGCCCCAAGCTTACCGTTATCTCTATCGTATGGTATCCAGCCCTCCTCCTCATCCTCATCTTCCCCCTCCCCCTCCTCTTCAGTTTCACTATGATGAACAGAATTCTGATCCATTTTATAGTTGGTTAAAGCATCACAAACATCATCACTAGTCAAACCTTCCTTTACCTTAATGATTTCCCAATATTCCTTGAATAGAGCTTCATATGTCTCTCTGTCAACCAAGCTAATTTTATTCTGCAAAGGATAAGCAATATATAATCAACGTATTACATGTCAATATCTCACCATCCTACCCTTAAATAAATTGAAAAGAAACTAACGCCGCCCTATAAATTTACTTGACCACTAGTAGCAAGCCGATTGCATCAATTTAATTGTAAAAAACTATAAACCAGAATAAAGTTTACAATTTGGCATTCACATGCAAATAATTGTATGTGCAATTGTAAGAAACTATAAACCAGAATAAAGTTTACAATTTGGCATTCACATGCAAATAATTGTATGTTGCACAATATTATCTGCTGAGCAAACTCTATCACTGTCATCTTGTTGCCAAAGAAACTTTTTTCGGCTACCTCCGAATAGAGAAAAATTATACTTGTCATAATAACCTTACCCAACTTTCCAATCCATCGATCCGCGTATACTCAACAGCATCTAGAGGAAAATTGGTAGATATCATACAGTCTACATTTTTATTTGCACCTACCCCCTCAGAGTCGCGATCCAAATTTTTTTCTATGATGAAAACTAGCTCCAAACACTCGCTGCATAATACTTTGCCGCCTCCAAAAGTAGCAAATTCTGAAACAGCATAGCACTTATTGCATACAGCACGCGGACAGCCAAGGCAATAAAACCTTGCGGGGTTTTGGCAGTGGAAGCAATAATGCCGACCTGAAAATTAAAACATGGTATCATATTTTGAAACTTCTCTCTTTGGTCTTGCAACTCGGCGGTTTATTTATGTAAATGACTTCAGAGCCTGACAACTTCCAGAAAAGATAGAAGAAGAGAAAAAGAATACTGCAGAAAACATTAGACAAGATTATATCACGCTACAAAACATGTGGGAGCCTCCGCTGGGATCTCATCCCTGGGTTGCGCAACGGCAAAAATTAATGAAAACACGTATTATGGTTAGTGATAGGCCAAATTTGTTGCAATGATGGGAGACGTACGCGGGTGCGAGTGATACTTGGCATGTAACGAGTAATATGAGCAAAAATTTAAATGCCTGTTTGGCAATTGGGCACAGATTTCCATCCTTCAAAATAAAAAAAATCTATTTAATAATGTATTTTTAAAAAATATTTTAAAAATAAAAAATAAAATATTATTTTAAAGAATAAAAAATAAAATTTTTTTAAATGCTTTAAAATTATTATTTTAAAAAATAAGAGTGAATGAGAAAAATATTAATTTTTATTATTTTTTTAATTTTAAAACATATCTTATAAAATATCAATTTTAAAAACAAAAGAATAAAGGAAATTTCAAGCATGCCCTAAATTGCTCACCACAAATCCAAGATTCTCGACTTGTAAAAGAGGATTCTTCCTCCTGTACACATTTGACGTGGTAAACCTTCCCACAATTCCTGTTTATAAAAAAGCAATTTGTTTAACGTGGGGGAGGTAATTTGCAGTGTTGTGCTAAATAAGGAGGGAAATTTTTTTTTAAGAAAACGCGGACAAGAGGCGGAGAAAACTCACTCATGATCACAAACAAGAAGATCTCCACCATCCTTGCATTCAAAACACCAATCTTCTGGTTCATCGGCTTCGCAAAGCTTTCTCTTTCCCGTGTTAGTCATGTCTTCTGGCACTCGCACAGGCCTCTGACTCGCGCAAACCGTTTGATTTTTGGATCAGTTTCAGTTGCTTGAACCACAAGAACCACCCTCCCATGCGCCATAAAAACAAGAAACAAGAAAGAGAAGCTGAACGGTCAAGGTGACAGTATTACGTCACATGCTCAACAGTACAGAGGAAAATTAATGATGAGTGATAAAAAAAAATCCTGAATTTTATAATTATTTAAATTAATATTCGAAACCTTTTTTTTTTTAATTTTATCAAAACCTAATTACCATTAATTAACTTGTATAGTTAACGGTATGGTGTGGAAAACGGAACTAGAACGGCCGGTCAGGCCAGCGACCTGATGAACTATCTAATTGTCCGGTCATATTTTTCATTTAAACCGGATGAAAGTTAACTTGGATCAACTCAAGTGACCCGGAACAAACTCAAATTAATCCGTAAAATTCAAAACTAGTTACTTTGAAAAAAAAAAATCAAATGCAGAATATTGTCGTTTCTTCAACTTCATAGCTCATGTTATTTTGCTCCTGGAAGTCTTCAGCATCCATCAAAGAGAGTAGAGGAAGAAGAGAGGAGCATATAAAAAATAAGAAAAGAAAAAGAAGGATGAATAGGAAGAAAGAAGAATATACTAACCAGTAAAAGAGCATTGCAGCACTGGAAAAATGAAATCTAACGCAAGATGAAATAGAAAACTGGAAGAGAGAACATGAAACCAGAAAGGAAGGAGAGCACGCGAGGCGAGTTTGGGAAGTCTGCGAGTGTAAAAATAGAGGAAGGATGAAGTTAAAGATTGAATATGGTTGAGAGAGAAGTTGCTCCTAGTTTTGAGAAGAGAGAAGAGATGTCCTTGATTTGAAATTGGAAGGAAAAAAAATTTGGCAGACATTAAGAAACATGAGTGCAAAAAAAGGCCTTCTAGACTTCCAATAAGATGTGAAGATGTAGTCTGTGCATAAATTTTGTAATAAATGAAAAAAAAGGTGACAAAGAAAACTTTTTTTTTTGATATGGCATTGATATTTTAGTCAAAAAAATATTTTGTACATTTTAATTAAATTTGATTATTTTAATAAATATTAATTTGATTTTGATTTGAGCCTCAATTAAATCACTAAATCTCGAACGATTGCTCAGATTAATTCAAGATCTAATTTTTGGTGCCTTGGTTAACATCATCATCATCATATAGGTTAGGGGGCCGCTAGTGTCCAGATTGTCAACCTTTTTGGTTCTTTTCCCCCCAAATAATCTCCGTATCAACCTCCCTTCAGTTAGTTGGGAGAAGGCGTCTGCTTTCTTAAAAAAACAAAAAGAATTATTTGAATAAAAATATGTTTTAAGAGATTTTTCCACACTATAGATAATAATATCCAGGAATTCATAGACCATCTAATCTAAATCTAGATCTAAATATGTTATATTTTTTACTAGAGAACCTAATTTAAATAAACAGTAATCATGTACGCTTTTTTATACATGATGATGATGGGTCTCACTTTATTTTGATTATTTGATATTTGATATAATTTGAGTTTAGAAAATCGGTTTATTTTAATGTTTGAATTGAAGTAAAATGATTGTCTTAAAATTTTCAAATAAAATGAAATAAATTAAAAAATGGTTACTTTTATAATGAATGTTTATTGCAGTTTTTCCTTCTATATATTAGAGTAAAATATATTGACTATTCCTATATTATACTCTAATTAAACAAGTCACCCCTCTATTTTGAAAACACATATAAACCTTTTTAAAAATTTAAACATATGTTGCATAAACTTTTTCTGTATATTTAAAATTTTACTTTCATCCATCCAACCTTTAATTGATTGTTAAGTTTTATTTTTAAACTTTCAATTTGATCAAAATGATCCTCTTTAACATAAAAATTATTTAAAAATTTATATTTGCCAAAACATATATTTTTTGTATACAGATAAAAAAATATAATAACTACATTTTTTAATTTTTATTATAGTATAAAATTTATTAGCTTTTATCATATTATAATTTTAATTTTTATCAAAATTTGAAACTTATTTATTCATTTTTTTAAATTGCTAAAAACATATTTCAAACACATATTTTTGTTCATCGCATAACATAAAATAATATAAGTTTGAGATAGATTTTATAAATGATTAAAATTTAAAATTTGTAAACATGTTTTTAATCATAAAATGACGTAACTATCAAAATAATATAATTTAAAATTTATTGGAATAAGGGGTCAATTCAGTAAATAAAATATGTTTTAATACACATTTTAATTTAAAAATATTTTTTTAGAATCTTTTTGGAATACTTCTAATAGAGTTAACAGATTGAACTACATTATGTGTTTTTAAAAGAGAGAGAAATCTCTATAATTAAGGCATAATAGAAGGATAGTCAGAATATTTTACTCTAAATTTTAACAGATTCAACATGAAAAATAGGTTGAACTCAAAGGAGTTCAACAATTTTAACTGGGTTGGATATGACAAATTAAACTTGTTTGATGAGTTCAATTCAGCATATTATAAACCATTTAAGAGATTGGTTTGAAGGTTAATCATTAAATTTATTATAAATAAAATATTTTATTAAACTGATTAAATATTAATTTATTGATTCAAACAAATGGACTCAAATTTTTATATTATGGTTTAGACTCAGACAAAAGTTGCTAGGGAGCTCATGGGTGATGAAAGAGAAAATGACAGAGACAGTACATAAAGCATACCGGCCAAAAGTAAAGGTTGTTGACACTAAGGATTTACGGGGTTGACTGTCAAAAATACGTTTAAATCATATTTGATATATGCTTTAATCAAATTTAATAAATAATTGAATTCTTTAAATACATTTTTGTCATATATAAACTGAAAATTAAGAGACGCTGAAATAGCATTTCTGAGTTGAAGCAGCAGATGAACAGCCTCGTTGAAGCCGAAGCAGATTCATTCATAGCAGATTTACAGCTGGAAGTGCTGAGGTCAGCTCGTTGTTTTCCCCCGTTCCATAGTTCATATACTGCAATTTTTAGGGATAACTTTTACTTCATAGAGTTAGATCCAGACCCCTTTTCAACCAAACAATATTTTCGCTCCTTCTAAGACAACTTGATGAATAATAACTGTACATTGCAAAGTATCAATAATATAAATTCAATTGTGTATGTTGAATATTGATTATGCCTAAGTAGTAAGCATACAGATTTAAAATTATAACAATCATTATTTCCAAAGACTAAAATTTTGATCATATATTTATTAAAACAAACTAAATACGAATAATAACTGTTTAAAATCTTGCAACAACTTTAAGTATATTAATTCTTTCCTTCATAAAATGTTATAGAATTCAGTAATAACTTTAATTGACTCTTGAAATTGATTATGATTTTTTTTAGGTTTTAATTTTTAGGGTATAGAACTATAGACTTAGTTCTTCGTAGAAGTTGACAGCAAACCTCGAGCGTTATCCGAGTCTCCGAGATGCGATTTTATCGTACGTTAATATTGACTGGAAAAAAAAAATGTGGATCAGGTTGACTTAAATAATCCTCTTTTTTTTTTTTAATACTGGGTTGGGGGAAAAAAACACTCTAAACAGAAATTATGTTTCGCCAGTGTACTTGATGAAACATGGCCATAAATCGGTACAGCTGAACTGAAATGGTCCCAAGTAGACGTCACAGAAAAAGAAGTGGACTCGAAATCACCACATGTCGGTAACCTCGAAGCTTCACGCTTAATGCATTACCATATTCATACTCCTGCAGCGATGGGTAAAAAGTCAATTTTGCTTCCCGTGTTGCATAACTTAAAATTATTAGTTCATTACAGTGAATGGGTAGAAACCTTCACTTAATTACAACGATGTATAATGGCGCCTATTGCCGAGCCCCTAACACTAGCAAAAGGAAAGGGGGTTGTGTGTGCATGCATGCATACATACATACATACATACATATATATCAACAGGATATACATTGACAAGTGGCTGGCGTCTCTGCTGATACGAAATGCCTTACTAACCAAGCCCCTTCTCATTGCCGGAGAACCCTAAACATCATGAAAGAGCCTCCGTATCTGGTCAACCGTCGCAGGCATCAACGTGATTGGGCAGCGCTTATACTGCAGCAAGGCAGCACAGAACAAGGGAGAAAATATTAACGTGGAAGATACTGGCTGACTTGACTCATGAACATCAGCGAGATTTAGAAAACTAAAACTTGTGCAACACTCCAATGGTGGTCAAATTGAGCAAGGCACATGTTAGGAGAATTACCTAGCATATAAGGCCAAGGCTAGATCCACCAACAAAAAATGAAAAAGACACCGCATGCATAAAATAATATTTATAAAAGTTGTCAATAGATCCTTGATATTCCAATAGGTTTGCTCTGCGACTGCTAACACAGATGTGAGAGTTTAATCCCAACAGCTTATTATAAGCATCGGCCCAGATGCGTGACCACGGAAACTCATATTATACTTTTAAGACCATGCTATCTCCTCTTAAAACATGCCAAAGATTATTGTTTGGGAGGTCAGTCGTCTTACCTGGGTAACATACTTAAAGATGCAGGCATAGCAGAAAACAAACCCCGAAACTGTAATGACAGATGGATTTGCACGCTTCTGCGAGCACAATGGACAAATTGTTCTGTCTGGCGGCAGCGGTATCCCCTCTCTTGCTACCTGTTTATTTCAATAATAAAATTCCAGAATCCCTTAGGCAATGAAGCAATATAACTTTTGACCACCGCTAGGGTGACAATTATAGAGGGTGCAAATTGAGCGATACTTGGAGCAAACACGCAGCTTCTCCCCTTGTTGATTCTCTGTGTCCCACATCTTTCACTTATTTTATCATACTGTTTTCAAACTTCAGATATCTTTTATGTTCATGTTCTGAACTAGGGCAAATCAAGAGATAACAGGAAAAGAGAGATGAGAGGAAAGCTTGCAAAATGGTTTTTTCACCTTTGGGGGAGGAGGGGGAGGGGGAGGGGGATATACTGTTGGTGCTGACATTCTCTCCTCAGCAGATTGGTACCACCATTCCATCATCTACATATCATTCAAAGAAGTCGAGTGTTAATGATTATGCTACTCCATAATTTCGATATCAAGCTACATATCATCCTATCATCTACTTGAAGGTCGAGGGAAAATGTTGCACTATTTTTGGCATATTGTTAGCACTTGAGAATGGATGAAAATTTATCAATAAGTCACATTTTACTCACTTTGAAAAAGAACACCGAAGCAATCAAACCAGTCTGTGCATAGTCAAGTATCGTGTATGTACAGCTAAGCAGCGCTCCTTGTAATGTCTGTATAAGACATATCACAGGTCAGCAATTTGTTAAAAATAGAGCAAAAGCACAGTTATTAACACAGCCAACATTGTCATGCAGTAACCATACCTGCAAATTGCACTATGTGACAGTATACAAATATAAATAAAATCAGCAGGTAATGAACTAACCCCCTGAGTTTCTTAATTTGAAAATGAAAGTTAGAAAAAGAAGATATTATCATCATGCTAATTTATAAACTCACTGCTTACCTTCAACCATTGAGGGCCACGAAGTCTCTCACGTTCACGGCTTCGAATCTTGGAAATTCTGGAAGATGTATCCATCTATCTTGACAATAAGGATTGCAGAGTCAATCTCATAAGAAGAAACAGTAACTCAGTTTTGAGATATTTGCTGAGAAAGTAAAATAAAATAATAAAACTACTGCATAATCATTATTTTGAAAAGCTTTCATGTTGTTTTGATTAGCTATTTGAATTTCACAAGTTCAAGGAAAATAACACAATGGATCTTTTTGGAAATTATCACTACATATATTTGATAGTTTTCAAGTACAACAACAACAATAAGAAGTTTTATCTCACTAAATGAGGTCAGCTACATGGTGATAGTTTCCAGGTATCATTTGACATAATTGTTAAAAAATCTGATGCAAGTCATTCATAGTGGATTATCATAAAAAAAATATAAATCTACAAAGTATCTTACAGCATCTAAAATATGATTTCCCCTCCCCTCTTTTGTATATTCAGTCATCCACTCTGTAGAGGGTAATGACGAAGTTGCTTATCTTCCATTCACATATGAATACCCATTTATATACATCAAGATGCTCTAGGATTAATTACCAAACAATTTTCTCTCACCAAATATTCACAATTAATGTAGATTTTCCACACAAAAAAAAGGTAAATTATTCTCTAACACAATCATTGACCACTTTAGCAAACAGCATTTACAAAATGGACATGCAAATGAATAGATTGGCTCTCTAATGCACACATCATAGAAAAGCTGTCAACCAGCCACAACAAGGATAGTGAGAGTAATTTTAAGCTAGGTCTGCTAGTGGTTGATTGCTTGATACAGAAGAAAAAGAACTATTTATTTCTAATAATAGCTTGCTTAAAACCAAAGGTGTTGCTAGAATTGTATTAAAGGTTAATTGGGCTCCTTTCATATATAGTAAAAGCAGAATACGATACAATGTGAGCAAATATCAATATTTCTGATTGATAACATGAAATGAAATTGACGGACAAATATCGTAGTTCATACTGCATACATCAGCTCACATGAATTCCACGATACATGTTTGTTATCTCTCTCAATTAATATATGCATTGTATTAAAGAGATTACTAAATGCAATATGTTAAATATCTACCAGCTCTTGTCCTGTAGCACGACAGACATGAATGCCAAGAACATGCAGTGCCAGTGAGTAGTATCCAGTGGCATCCAGCAGGTATAGCAACTGATAAGCAAATGACACGCCTGCATTGTTAATATTCTAAGTAAGAAGCTTATGGTTATTCAGACTGCAGAGAGGAATTATGGCAGATATCCTAAATCATCTCAAAGCAAATGGACCAGCAAAACAAGTTTCCCTTGAGATGCCAAGTGGTTCATTCTCATTAAAGTTATGATTTATGCTAACCTGAGCAAGACTCGCGATAAAAATCACAGAGTGAATGCAGATTCTATGTCAATGAATTGCCTATACAATCCTGATTCTCAAGTCCAAATCCTTCTCCAAATAAAGATGTACAATTGAAGAGTGTTACTTACCCTCGGTAGTGGCATGTAACCAAGGGTAGCAAAATCCTATAATTTTGTGAACTCTCTTTCTCACCCGCAATCCAACAGAGGCTTCAGCATTCAAAGTTCCTCTCGACACTTGAAAATCTTCTTCAGCAAAGCTCTGGCTGACATCCAATCCTTCACTTTCATCTCCCCATAGACTAGCTTGAAGCCTAGCTTCCCTTTCTTTATTGTACATTGAATGTAATTTATGTTTTAAATATGGAAGCACAACCTGAAAACATTACCAAACTTGGTTATACATTATCTAGTAATCATACAATGGTACCGCATAGTAAAGTAAGCATAACAGAGTACCAAGAAAACTACTGATAGAACTTTTTGTCGCTTCTCTAATCCAGAATGATTAGTGGCATCAGCTGATTTTGAGCTAGTATCATCGTTCTTTGCCCTGATATTAACTGCTCTTCTTCGAAGGCCATATAGAGATTCAGAAAAAGAAGCATCTATTGAAAATGGCAAACAAAATCAGAAATACAGTTAGAAATTTGGAGACGCAGCTTTCAAGATATATACGTTTAAATTGGAACATTCATTTTCCCGTTGCTTTTTGTTTACTTTGATTCAAAGTGCACAACTTTGTGTGAAATCAACTAATCAAGAAGAAGCAAGGAAGACAAAGCTAGCGAGTATGCAAAGGAACAAACACTTGAAATCACTATATACAAATAACTCGTATTCAATCACAGGGATAAATTTACACATTATCTGCTTTACATATTACATGGGAAAACATCCAACTTATAAGGTATAATATAGGCGGAAAAAACAAAAGAAAGAAGCAGGTGTATGCTTTGGACTTTTTTAATTAATGAAGGAGACTCGCGAGAATTTAACAACCCAAAGGTGCTGCATCCATAAACTTCGATGACGCCCAGTCAGAAAACAGAGACAAGAGTGGAAGGAATATGAGAATGAGGAACCTGTTGTTCGTATGCTGTGAGTTTCAAGAACCAGCATGAGCAAGGCGAAAAATTCATCTTCATAGTCCAAGACTCTGTGAAGGAATGGCCTTCTTAAGGCCAATACCTGCAGAAAGTCACAGCCGTACACTAAAAACCAAATGAATTTTCAAAGTGTAAATCGAGAAGATAGAGAAAAAAGGAAAGAGAAGAGCAATTGCATACACCAATTGAGTAGGTAAGAGCAGCACGGAGACTGACAGGAAGCTGTTGAGCCGCCGCCATCTCGAAGAATGTGGGACGAGTCCCTTGACCTCCCACCTGAAACAACATTTCTTTCTTTTTCACTTCCTCGCTCGTTCCTTTCCCGTAAAAATTCCCAATCGCCAAGCCAAAAGTGCTCAATCCCTAGCACATACTAAACCTGAACTCTTCAAACTCGCCGGCTCTTGTACATCGTCCGATTTCTCCGTCTGTAAGCAAAAAGGGTCGTCGAAATATCAATACCACAATCCGATATCGGAATTTTTTGGATCAAGCTAGTGAGAGTGAAAACTTTATGGATGTCCCTCATTCCTTTAAAAATAAAAATAAAACACCGAGCAGTTGTTTCTTTCAAGTTCTCACACCCTTTATTTTTCTTGGGCCAAAAGTTCTCGAGCCTCAATGCATGCAATCCCTTGGTTAAAAAATATATCACGTCCCAGTTAAATCTCACCCTTCAATTAAAAAAATTATTTATTTTTAAATTAATTTTATCTTTTTATATTTATACTTATTAAATATCTCATAATAAATATGAATTTATTCATTAATAAATATACTTTTAAAAAAATAATAATTATTATATTTTAAAAGATTAAAATTACTTTACACTTTTTAATATCTAACTCTTCAAAAAATGATTTACATTTTTAAACAGAGGGAGTTAAATTTTTACAAATAAAAATAATTTTTATATATGAGCATGTTAAATTGTATATTAACTATAATTTGTGTGGTTTAGCTTACGTGCTTTCTTAATGTGCTGTCATTTAATTTAAAAGTAAAAAAAAAAAATCAATCCCTCAAGTGAATTTTAGCTATAATTTTAATTTAATTAAAATTAAATCTTCATCTTATTTCAATTACTATTTTTTGGTTATGCAAAAAAAAAAGATAAATAATCCAATTAAAATCTCTGAGACTAACATTATACATCTAAATCTAATAGGGAAAATCACTCTAATTCCCTTATAAAGATTTTAATTACTGAGAGATTTCATGAAATATATATAAAATATTTTCAAATTTCAAATTTTACGTAATTATAATTTAGTAAAGAAAAATGATTATTTTCTTTTGCCAAGTTACAATCACATGAAATTTGAGACTTAATAGTAATTTGTACATTTTATGAGACTTTAAAATAATTAAAATTCTTGTGTGAGATTTCTCAATAATTTTCCCAATCCAATAATTAATGTATAATGATCATCAAAAATAAAATTTAAGAAGAATATCAATAATGGATCTCTAAAATGATTTCCTATCAAAAAAGGACTTCTAACAAATAAATATTAACAATTAACGAGTAAAGTTTAAGTTTTAATATGTATTCGATTTGTCCAAGTTTTTATGTAATATTAAGTCATTTCAGCATGATATTCTTTCCAAAATTTATAACAAATTACTTATCATGAATTGCGTTGATTTTCTTTGACACACATAATTTCTTGAATACCAAGGGTGTCCAAAATCCCCATAACTCTCCACCTAAATTCATCAATTTAGATATATTTTCAATAGGCAACTAAATATCAACAATTTGCAAATCATGATCAACAATTCTCTCATTCCAAATAAGTCCTAAGATCCAAGGCCGTGTGAAGGGATTTTGAGGCTTAAAATAAAATTATTTAAGAGACCTCGTGCATTATTTCCTCCAATTTCTATTATACGACATTTTGTAAAAAAGTTATCCAGTCCTTAATATAAAGTACATGGAAGAAGGTCATTTATTATTATTTTTTAATTTTATCCTTACTGTAAATTTAATTTTATGGCTCATCGTATATTATGTATTTATTTCTTTTTATTTTTAATAAGGGTAAAGTTAATTTTTTTTATTTTAAGATATTAAACAAGTCAACTATCATTTCTTAGTTGTTCAGGCAAAATTATTAAAAACATCTTATAATAGGGTCAAAAGAAGTATTTTTTATATTTTTCTTCATATCACTTTTTTTAATGACTAGTTACATAGGATATAAACGAGTAATAAATTATGAATAAAAATATATAATTAACATTAATGTTTAATGAAAAATATAATGACCAATTATAAAGGATGTAATATTTTTTGAGGCATAAGGCAAAACCACCTTATTTGTCTGAGGGCACACACGGCCCTGCTGAGATCCAAGCATGAAAATGTTATCTAAACTTCATGTGGATTGCGTTACAGTTATATATGTATATATATAGACACGGTTAGAACATCCCCGCAGGCCGCATCCAATCAAACTGTGTCCACGAGTCCCACATTTTCTATGTGTGTTCTAGACAAGTCCAAGAATATACGAGTGTCTCGGAGTAAAATTTGTCGTGCCCCAAATCAAAGTCAACAAATAATTAAACGATCAGCTCTAATCAGTGAAGCCATAGTCGTGGATGCTGCGCAAATTTCGAGTAAATCATCCTGACAAGCAATTCCAGCACATTAAATCTAGAAGCATCAATAATGCTTAGACAATGATTCTGCTGCTGCATCAACTCTTAGCACGTTTTCTAGGTGGTTCCTCAAACCGATCTTCTCCCACCTCCTGTTCAACCATATTGTCATCTGGTTTTACCCTGGTGCTTCCATTCTAGGAACTTCCTTCGGGCATGGTTTTTGCAGTTCCTGATTTGTCATGTTCCTTATTTGAGATTTTTGAATTCTCAACCTTATTTGATAAAGGAGCAGAAGGCTCATCTAAGCAAGAGGAGCCCTTGAGCTTGCCATCCTCCCTTTCTTTCCGTCTCTTAAACACCATCTGAAGACACTATCCTTGGTTTTCTATTTGAATATGCAATTTTCTTTGAATTTGCATCACAGATATGACATCAGACCAAGCCAACGTGCTAAAGCCCTTGCACACATATGAAATGCTGCTCACATGCATAAAAATTGAGGAGTCTGGGAAAAAGTCCATTTACAATAGAAGTAATAGCTTTATTACATATTTTTAAGACACAGTGATCTTACTCCTAAAACCTCTGGGAAGACACTGATTCTCTATTAACTTGTATATCGAATGTTCTTGCAGAAGTATATAAAAGTAAGTTTTAAGTATTAAGCACCTCAAGTTGTTCATGGAGCTCTTTTTGTAATTCCATTTGCAACCGCAGTGCTTTAGTGATCTTCATACTCCTGTAACCAAAGTATAATGCTTCTTAGCGTGGATGAGTCAATTCAACGCAATTAGGATGACACTCTACGCAATGCATGCAACAAATCAAATGATTGACACTAGATTATAAAAAGAAAAAAAGCTAGTCATAAATGTATCAACGTTATTGATAAAAAATTTATAACAATAAGTATACCAACTTTTTCAAGTCAGAGACGCCATTTCTTCAATTGATGCCAACTTTTTTCTCCGAAGTTCCTGTAGACAAGGAAGAGCAACTCATCATTCACATGATAATTCTCATGTCGAGACGAAAAGCATGTCTGTATAATTATTAGAAATAACTTAATGGAAATGTATAACAAGAAAGGGATCAATAGTTATGGCAAAAATTGCATTTCCTCACCTTAATAGAAATATGACAGACATGTAAATGTTGTTTGTTATATGAACATTAGAGCTGCTATTTAAGCTTTCACTTACCTTCGCATGACACAGGTTTGGATCTGGCGGTTCCATACTTTCTGAAATTGAAGGAATATAAAATTCATTGAGAACCTTAAATTGACTGAACAAAAAAGTGATTCATTTAATGTATCCATTTATACCAATTAAAACCTATTGAAGAAGGAAAACCATATATATACTTGTAGGTGGCTTTTCACATGATAGATGGTAAGGCCCTTGACTTTCATCAGGTTCAAGACACCCTTAGGAGCAGCCCCTGCATTAACATGATGAAATGAAGTGCAAACCTGAAGTATCACTGCCGGTGTGAAGGTCAGGAAGTACAAGAGTACGAAGAAGAAAACATTCTCCCTCTACCCCCAAGCTGATTGACTGCTTCCACAAAGGCCTCATGAAGTTCTGGAGTCCAACGCATTCTTGGCTTAGCTTGTGGTGCAGTTGACACAGCATTAACTTCTCCAGATGGTACATGCTGCTGCTGCAAAACCTGGGTCTCCTACATTGAGAGAATACGATATGTTTCCTTACTTTATACAATTTTTTTAACGCATAATAAAAGAAACCGGAGACTAAAAGTTAATTACGAGAAAACAAGGGATTCAAACAAGAATTACATGTACAAGGGAAAAGGCAAGAAACGATGAACTACGTACAATACCCAAAACCAAATGCCTATGGTGATGAAACAAACCATAAAAGGAATCAACAATCAAGCACCCAATGCACCTCACATATCATATCCATATCTGTTTTCTCTCCCTTCCACTGAAGTCCCAGCCTATTTGTGAGTGTGTAGTTATTGGCAAAAAAGGACATTGGAGGTAAGCTTAAGCCCTATAAGATCTTGCAGATCTCAATCACTTTGAGAAACAAACCTTTGGTTTTGAATCAGTTACATCATCACCACCAAGAAGCTGACTCCAATTCGGGTGCAGAGAATCATCGACTGATATAACTGGTCAACCCATTCCCCAAGATCAGTTTTTTCAGTATTGTCATTTGGTATGTAACAAGAACTACTTCCACCTGATCATTCTGGATAGAAACAATTTTAGGAAAATTAAGAATATCCTGAAGTGAATCTGGTCTCCAGGAAATTTCATTACTTTCCCGGGAATGTGGAATGAATGCTGTAGAATGCATTTCCGAACGGGAAAAAAGTGTTGATGGATGGAAAGGACCCGTTGTCAGTTAATTTATAAGCAGTGATGGGAGAATCATGATACTGTTTATCATGTTGTGAAACTAAGGAAAAAAGAGATGTCTTCAGGTCATTTAGCAGGAGTTGAGAACATGTATCCAACACTTCTGATATTGGGATTTGATGGAGCAGCTTGCATTAAGGCAGGATTTGCAGTCAGATCTTGGATGGTGGGTTGCTGAAAAGAAGCTGGGGGTGTCATATACTTGTCTTCAGGAGAATATGAAGAACGTGAAAAGATGAAAGCATGGCTATGAGGAAGCTTTAACTGACTGAGCTAGGTCAGACCTGATGAATTAACATGAAAAGTATGATGTGTGTTAGCAGCTCATCCGCTCATGCAAATTTTCTCTCTTACCAACAGAACCGAACAAAATGCACATTTACTAAGCCAATGCTGTCTAATTCCATTACCTCTATTCATTAGCATAAGCCTGTGCTCCTTTAAGGAGAAAATGGCTAAGTTGGCCATTGAAATGCCAGAAAGCAGATAAAAATATCGCTAGCAAGTTGAATATAAGCGTAACAATTCTGATAACTTGACAAGAA